GTCCTTGATGCCCACCTTCAGCAGGACCCTGATGCCAAAGTGGCTTGTGGTAGGTTCAGAACACTTCTCACATGATGAAAAGATAGCCTGAAAGTTAACTTTATAAAATGATGTTTGAGTGTCAACATCTCTTTTATTAGAAACTGTTGCTAAGACTGGAATGATCCTCCTTGCTGGGGAAATTACGTCCAGAGCTGCTGTTGACTACCAGAAAGTGGTTCGTGAAACCATTAAACACATTGGATATGATGATTCTTCCAAAGGTATGTTTTAATGAGTTAACTTTCTAACCTCATTTTTTCAGATATTTTCTTCAGTCCTCTTTAGTTCTATTTTATTGAGTGTTCCTGGGAATATTTAATTCCACCTGTATACTTTTACTGTACTTTTGTTCTGGCCCTATGCTTTTCTCTAAAAGTACTACATTTAGGTATATTTTATTTCTTTAGCAGCATTTAGAGTTCCAGATAATTGTTGTAAATTTAAAAATATTGCTATGGCCCTTAAAAAAAAACACGTTGTTTTGTTTATAGGGTTTGACTACAAGACGTGTAACGTGCTAGTGGCCTTGGAGCAACAGTCACCAGATATTGCTCAAGGTGTTCATCTTGACCGAAACGAGGAAGACATTGGTGCAGGAGACCAGGTATCTTGGTAGACATCTGTTTGCATCTCTTCTTCTAACAACTTTTGAAGCTTGGATTGATTGCATTGATGACTTTTCCTTTTATAGGGTTTGATGTTTGGTTATGCCACTGATGAAACTGAGGAATGTATGCCTTTAACCATTGTCTTAGCACACAAGCTCAATGCCAAACTGGCTGAACTACGCCGGAATGGCACTTTGCCTTGGTTACGCCCAGATTCTAAAACTCAAGTAAGTGATGAACATCATAAACCTACACCCATTAACACTGGCACAGGACATCAGTAAGGTGGTTTGATTAAAGCTAAGAGAAGAATAGCATTTGTTCTCTGTAATGTAGGGTAGGGAACCAAGAACAAAGCTATTGTTTAGTAGACTGATGTTCTGATGTTTGGCTTTCAAGGTGACTGTGCAGTATATGCAGGATCGAGGTGCTGTGCTTCCCATCAGAGTCCACACAATTGTTATATCTGTTCAGCATGATGAAGAAGTTTGTCTTGATGAGATGAGAGATGCCCTAAAGGAGAAAGTCATCAAAGCTGTTGTACCTGCGAAGTACCTTGATGAGGACACAATCTATCATCTACAGCCAAGTGGCAGATTTGTTATTGGTGGGCCTCAGGTAAGGCCTTACAATTTCAGTTTGCATTTTTTTTTTTAATCTGTCATGGTTACTTGGAAAAACCTGGCTACTTTCCACCTTTTTCCTAGGTTTTTTGAAGCCTGCGTGTGAATCTCCTGAGGATGTTTGCCAAGTGATACTGAATAAGCATTTAACAGGCAGGCCTGATCTAGAACCACTGGAAAGGATTGGGCATAAAGTAATTTAAATTCTGTAATTTCAGGGTGATGCTGGTTTGACTGGCCGGAAGATCATTGTGGACACTTACGGCGGTTGGGGAGCTCATGGAGGAGGTGCCTTTTCAGGAAAGGATTATACCAAGGTGGACCGTTCAGCTGCTTACGCTGCTCGTTGGGTGGCAAAGTCCCTTGTTAAAGGAGGTCTGTGCAGAAGGGTTCTTGTTCAGGTATATATTTTTCTATTACTGGGTTCACTAAAAGGTGTGTAAGTGGGAGGATATTTAGCAGTTAACTACTTGTCTTTTTTTTATACCAATCTGTTACACAGTGTGTGGGTCTTTTGCTCACTGATTTCTTAATGATATTTAAATTCTTTTAGGTCTCTTATGCTATTGGAGTATCTCATCCATTGTCTATCTCCATTTTCCATTATGGCACCTCTCAGAAGAGTGAGAGAGAGCTATTAGAGATTGTGAAGAAGAATTTTGACCTCCGCCCTGGGGTCATTGTCAGGTAAAGATGGTAAAGCCTATTGCTAGTGAAAAACATTGAGGGTGTGGGTGTGTATATATACTTGATATATTCAAATCTTGGAAGGCGAAGGTGTGAAGGAAGACTCAAGTGGGGAAACATCTTAATTCCTAGAATGTGTTAATATCTTCTTAGAAAATTGCCTTCAGTAGAGGCTTAAATTATTAGGAAGAATCTAAAATTCTAGTGCTCCATGGCTTAGACTAACCACCCTAGAAAAGTTTTCCACATTTGATACCAACTTGTGCTCCTGTTACCTGAGGGATGTTTACTTAAAAGAATTTTTAGTACAGATAAATGGGATGTACATGGCTGTTACAAAGAAAATAACCTTGGTAGGGTGTGGGCATGGCACCTTGGTAAGTATTCCATGACTTTAGATGAGTTTTTGATACTTGAAATTTCTCCAAATAATGACAAGTTTTCATATTTGTTGAGCCAGGGACGGAAAAACGAGAACTATAGTTACTGATAAGGACTGTGCAAGGAGTTTTGGACACCAGGGAAGTAACAAATATTTTGCCACAAACTTCTTTCCTAGCATACCCCAGAGAACTGAACTCATTTGCCAGAAGTCTTGAAAATGAGTCTTGCTGATTGTTTTGCTTTACTTTAATTGAATGCTACATATTAAGTTACGGACTTGTATATTCCAGGGATCTGGATCTGAAGAAGCCAATTTATCAGAGGACTGCAGCCTATGGCCACTTTGGTAGGGACAGCTTCCCATGGGAAGTGCCCAAAAAGCTTAAATATTGAAAGTGTTAGCCTTTTTTCCCCAGACTTGTTGGCGTAGGCTACAGAGAAGCCTTCAAGCTCTGCGGGAAAGGGCCCTTCTTCCTAAATTTTCCTGTCCTCTTTCAGCTCCTGATCAGTTGCAGTCACTCTATAGTCAATGACATGAATTTTAGCTTGTGTGGGGGACTGTAAGTTGGGCTTGCTATTCTGTCCCTAGGTGTTTTGTTCACCATTATAATGAATTTAGTGAGCATAGGTGATCCGTGTAACTGCCTAGAAACAAATCAACAGCATTGTAGTAAATAATGCTTTGAAATTGAACCTTTGTGCCCTATCACCCAGCCTTCTAAAATCCTAATTGCATTGACTCTCCCACCAAATGCTGAAAATGTCCTTGTAATGTGCACGTAAAGTACTTGTAGTTCCATGATAGCTTCTCGTCTGGCAATGCCACAGCCCTGTCAGCATGAATTTGTAATGTCTTGAGCTCTATTATGAATGTGAAGCCTTCCCTTATCCTCCCTATAACTTGATCCACTTCTAATTATGTAGCTCTGTCAGGGAGTGTTCCCTATCCAATCATTCTTGCATGTAACGCAAGTTCCAGTTGGAGCTCTAGCCTGACATAAAAAAAAAAAGGCAGTTACCATTAAACCATCTCCCTGGTGCTTATGCTCTTAATTGCCATCTCTTAAACAGCACCAAATCAGAATCTCTCCACTTCAGCTGTCTTTTGGAGGACGTACGTAATAAGGTTTTTAATTTAGTAAACCAATCCTATGCATGGTTTCAGCACTAGCCAAACCACCAATTCCTAGCTCTAGAAAAACAGGCACTTGGCACCCTTGTGATGTCATACAGAGGAGTCACAGGGCAGTACCTGAGGGTCTGTAGGTTGCACACTTTGGTACCAGATAACTTTTTTTTTTCTTTATAAGAAAGACTGAGTACTCCACACTGCACAAGAACTCCTCCCAGGGTTTTAACTTTGTTTTATTTTCAAAACCAGGTCCAATGAGCTTTCTGGACAGCTGGTGTAGCTACAGAGAAACCAGCTTCCTTCAGAGAGCAGTGCTTTTGGCGGGGAGGAGGAAATCCCTTCATACTTGAACATTTTCTAATTGCTTATTTATTGTATTCTGGGGTATGGCGTAAGTACAGAGAAGCCATCACCTCAGATGGCAGCTTTTAAAAGATTTTTTTTTTCCTCAACACCATGATTCCTTTAACATGTTTCCAGCATTCCCAGGTAGGCCAAGGTGTCCTACAGAAAAACCTTGGGTTAGACCTACAGGGGTTCTGGCTGGTGTTAACAGAAGGGAGGGCAGAGCTGGTGCAGCTGGCCATGGAGAAAGCTGACTTGGCTGGTGTGGTACAGAGAAGCCAGCTTGTTTACATGCTTATTCCATGACTGCTTGCCCTAAGCAGAAAGTGCCTTTCAGGATCTATTTTTGGAGGTTTATTACGTATGTCTGGCTCTCAATTCCAACAGTTTAATGAAGATCTAAATAAAATGCTAGGTTCTACCTTACCTGTGTCCATTATTTGTATTCTGGTGGTATGTGGGATGGTTTCCCAACCAGGGATTGAACGTGGACCTCTGCAGTGGAAGCACTGAATCCTGGCCACCAGGGAACTCTTCCCGCCATTATTCTTAAGTGTTTTAGTATGAGTATGAATTAAACATATTTTAACCCTGAGTAATTGTAATCCAACCCATGGTTTAGGGAAATCACTTCAATCTTGACTATAGGCATGGTGTTTAAAAGGTTCATAAATGAACTAAGGAGAAAGTTCAAGGTTTGTTCAGCACTGCCTTTTTTGGCCAACACAGTGGGCAAAATTCATGTCTTACAACAGTCATTTCTGCACTATCAGCAGTGCTTTAAAAGCATAAAAACCATTAAAATGAGTATCATGTGAGAAGAGTGATATTTTAAACCAATTTTCAGTGTTTTGAAAATGTAAATTGGATGTCTTAAGTTCACCTTGTATATAAATGGGTTAAAGGCTACAAGTTATGTACTATAGTTTGAAAAGTGTTTTTAAACAGAACTGAGGGAGTTTAAACAAAACTGCAGTTAGGATGTGTATTCTGAATTTGTTGCAGTTCAGACCCTGGGTCTGAATACTGAAACCTGGAGAAGCCAGATTTTCTCCAGTGAACAGTTAACAGTATTAGGTACCCACAACATTGTCACTTGGAAAATGAGACAGGTGGTACACTAACAGTTGGGGGAAAGTAACATCCTTGCCTGTATCAAGAAAAATACCTCTGTAAGCGTTCCCTTCCAAAATGAAGAACTACTTTTATTTCCACCAAGTAAAAAGGAGGGTGGGGCAGCAGTTATGGGGAAGGACACAGTGCCAAGGTATATCGTGTCACAGGGGATCTGCAGAAAGACTGAAAACCAGTGTTCCCATGCATGGTTCTTAGCAAAGTGCCCTGTGCGACAGCCATCTCTAACCCACAAAATGCCTTGTGTGAATCACAGGAACTTACTGCCAGGCTCCACATGGATCACTTGAGTGCACTTGGGCCCAATCTGCACAACTCCCTGGCAGCCCTGCTCTGATCTGTTTCACTGGATTCCAGTATAAAGGCTGAATGGACAGAAGTAGGAGAGATGAATTCAACAGATCCAAAAAGTAAGAGGTAGAACTGATGGGCCTTGAAATCTTAAGAAATGGAAGGAAAATGGAAGAATAAAAAAAAAACAGCTGCCATTTGGTAATAAAGCAGGTCTGAGTCGTGGATGAACGCATCTTCTGTTATGACAGTTAAAAACTGGGATAGCCAGGTGGAGCTAGATAAACAGGTCTAGAGCACAGCAAAGAAATTAAGCAGCGGCATCCCTGGAAACCATGGAGTAGACATAATCATCCCAAGTGTGTATGGTGAAAAGGCAGCCACCTAGGAAAGAACCCTGCGATTGGATGGAGTGGAGCATGGGAAAAGAAGACTGAAAACAAATGCGATCCTTTATCAAAGTAACTGGGATTGCCAGCCTGCTGCCGCTGGTCTCTGCCTCCACACAGGGTTCCCAAACAGGGCCTGTTTTATTTTTGTTTGTTTCTACTGCTAATTATGCATTCTGACTTCCTAGCCCAGTGCCAGGCCTTTGAATTTTCACAGAATTGAGGATCTTCCTGAATCACATCCAAACCTTATATATCATGACTGTAAACATCCCCTGATTTCATTACATTTGGTTAAATCTCACTTTACATCACCTCCTGCTCATTGAAAGCTAGAATAATGCTAAATACTCAGCTTATTTTTTAGATATATACCACTATTAATCATCTAAATTCTGTTATCAGTTTAACTTTCTGCTATTCTATGCTCATAACCCCTAGTGAAAAACTGGCTGTATAAACAATAGGAATAAAAAAAAGAATCAAAATCGCAGTGAAGAGAAAATTGCCCTGCATCTAAAACCTGATCACATCCTAATCACACTTTATAACCAGACAAGTTTTAAGCTACGTTATTTCAAAATTACTGTCAGTGATTCTGAAAATTTTAAGAGGCAGAGTGCAGGACCTTAAGACTTGAGGTTCGGACCATCAGTCAGTCTATCCCTTATTAGGTATACGTCTTTGAGTGAATTATACTATCCCTCAGCCTCAGTTTCCCCAACCACAAAATAGGGCTTATGGCTCTTAAGGCATAAGTGTAATAATGCTGGCACAGGGCTTCACATAGTGCCTGTATATGGCAAGCACTTAACAGCAGCTATTATTTTCATGGAACATTAACTCTCTTTTGGCAAGGAGCAAGTCACTTTAAACCTTATTCTTACCCCTTGAAAGACATCTTCACATTGTTTTTTAGCCCCACTGCCCAAGCCCTTCAACCTTGGAATTCATAAATCTTATCCTTGCTTTATTTCCTTGTCCCTCTAATCTATCCTCTCGGAATTTATTACAGCCGTGGATATGGAGGAAAAACAAAAAATCTGAAGTTTTTTCACATGTCCACTGCCTAGGTAACGGTCCTGTGACTGGCTGCTGCCACATCTGTACTCCACATCTGGCCTCCTTCAGAACTCTGAGTGGACAGGGCCAGAATCCAGCTCAGGGGGGTTAGAATTTGAAGAATCTGTGTTTACAGGACTCGGCTCTCCCACTGGCTCAAAGGGTCGCAAGTTGGCATAAGTCACCTCTTGGGCCAGCTGCTCCAGGGAAGGGCGGCCTAATGCCAGATTTCGAAGTGAGATACAAGTCATGAGAAAGCTGAAAAAGATGGGAAAAGGCCAGCTGTTCAAACTCCTATTTCAACACAGGCAATCCTGCCAAAGCCCTCAGAGGACACCTGGTCACCTGGCCTTTCACCCACAGATAAGAATCTCCCCCTAGACACCCCCATCCCAGCTGGAAGGGCACCCCACTTTTACACAGCCTGACTGAGGATTCCAGAGTCATGTAGGAATAACCCACAGGAAATAAGGTGAGTCAGAACAAGACAGCGCCCATCAGACACACCATTTGCTCTCCCAATCAATCAGGAAGAGGAGCAAGGAGAGAGGAAAAAGGGAGAGGTTTAGCACTGGATTGTCCTCTCCTGGGAAAGAGTCCCTACTGTTACTCTCATCAGAGAACAGTGACCTAGCCTGCAAACATCTGATGACAAAGACATGTACTACTGGGTAAAGCTTACCTGCGGCGAAAGATATAGAGCTTTCGCAGCAAGAAGCGGACAAGTCGCTCGTGGAAAGGGGCATTTCGCCGGCGTTCAATCTCCTGGAGCCTTTGCTGGCGTCTAAGGAAGGTCTGGACAAGTGGTGTTGGCTCAGGGCCGCCTTTGACTTCCCCTTCAAGCAGAGGTTGCAGCTCTGGAGGCAGAGGCCCTGTTTCTGTACGGAAGAGGGCAAAAAGAGGAATCACTCAGAAAAGAGCATTCTCTCTTCTAGAACTCCTCTTTCCCCAGCTAGACACTTCAAGTTCATTCTTTAAGTGGACAGATCTTTGATCGTGACCCCGATTTCCTGTAAAGTGGGCTCTCTTAGCCCAAATCTTCAGATACTCACCACTTCCATTCTCCACCTTCTCCTTCAATTCTTGCAGATACGCCAGGTCTTGCTCCAGTGCAACCTCTGTAGTGTTGACGTAGATGTACATGTAGCAGGAAGGGCTGGACGACACTGTGTACACCTTATGGTACTCGCCAGCAGGCAACTGACAAGGGGGAAGAAATGGATCTCTCATTCTCTAGCCTTTCCCTAGCCAGTCTATGGCCTCCCTCTACTTCCCACCTCCATCTTTTTTCTTGTATTTTGGAATCCAAAGGAACTGACCTCTAGAATCCTGAATGAGGCTATTTATAGCCCCCAGGGCCCTTGCTTTTCAGCCCCACTGCATTGTTGCTATTTAGTTGCTAAGTCATGTCCAACTCTTTCCTGACCCCATGGACTGTAGCCCATCAGGCTCCTCTGTCCATGGGATTTTTCAGGCAAGAATGCTGGAGTGGATTGCCACTTCCTTCTCCAGGGAATCTTCCTGACCCTAGGATTGAACCTGCATCTCCTGCAATTGGCAGGTGGATTCTTTACCAACTGAGCCACCAAGGAAGCCTCCAACTGCGTTACTGTTACATTAAAGCATTTTGTGTTTATACTAAATCATCGAAAGTTTTCTATCATTGTTAATTCAAGCCAAACACCTGCATTTTTTCTCCCTCCTGAAGAGTCTGGTTCTTCTGTTCTGCCACCAGCTCCACGGTCACCTCCCCCTGCAGCAGCTGGATGCTAGTGTTGCCCAGGTCTTCACTCACGAAGTTCTCCAGGTGCAGCCCTGCCAGGGGCAAGAGTTCCCATCCCACCCCAAGGTGGCGTGAACTCACTCCCAGTCAGAACAGAGAAATCACAACTTCACCACCACCTCCACCTCGGGTTTCAAAAACCAGCCTCCCACCAGGAGCAGATCCTCCCAGCGCCATCACACACTGTGTCCCTGGCCTAGGAGGCCATGAGGGAGACAGCAAAGCCTTTGTGCTTTCTTCCATACCAGGGAAATCTGCAATGAAGACCACTTCGGTGTGGTTGTCCAGGCTGCTCTTGATCTCCTGTAGTTTAGTTCTCCAGGGAGACAGGTCCATCAGCAGTGGCTGCAGCCAAGGTGTACGCCGGAAGGGGGACCAGGCAGCCTGCACGATGTCCACACGAGGGTCAAAAATCCTTGGGGAAGGAAATCATGTTCTATGGAGGCCATAGCCACCTAAATACTGGAATTTCCAGTTCTGTTCATCACTGTTCCCAGATAGGACAAACAGGGTTTTCCAGAAAGAAGAAACAGCCTATGTCAGCATGTTACTGCCAGTTGGGGACAGAGAGACAGAAGAGGGGAAAGAGATTCTGGAGCACTGGGAAGAATGGGGGTTAGTGGCCGCCTGAGGAGAGTTAACAGCTTCTAAGAGAATGAGTTCCCTTTTCTTCGGGATGATGGTGCCCTCTGCTGGATGCAATCAGCTATGCCCACAACCAGGTCAACAGGGACATGCACCAGAGGACAGCCTTGCAAGCAAGACAACACTGAGGAGCACAGGCTGGTTATCTTGGCCAAAAAAAACTGGACTTCACGTTTTCCCCCTTCTCTGCTCCCCTTGCCCACCTCTGCTGGAAGCGGTCATTGATGGAGACCCAAATATCAAAGTAGATCTGGGGCTCAGTGACATTGTACTTGGGCAGCAGGCGGCTCAGGCAAGTGGCATATTGCTTCAGCATGTCTGCATGGTCCTTCCAACGCCGGCTCTGTGTGAATACCTGCCCCAAACCCCCACATTAGTCCCACCTCGTTGTTATTGAGCTCCGAGACAGGTCATGCAGCGCAGAAGGCACAAAAAGATCCCTGCCTGCTGCCAGTTTTGACAGGGAAGAAAAAAAAAATGAGAAGCAAAAAACTTCGTGGAAGAATTTTTTTCATCGCTGGGCTAGTGGTACTCACCTTTCCTAAGTCTCATCTCAATTGAGGGATGTGAATGACACTGCCCCATTTCAACCCCCACAAAAGAAGGTTCCATCTGGCTCCAGAGAAAGGGCAAAGTGGACCCACAGAGACCAGAGCTCAAGGGGGCCTCTGAAGGCCAGGAAGTTAGTGGCATCTCACCCCAGGGTTGAGGTAGCCCAGCTCGCCGGTGCGGCCATCACGGTAGGTGATCTTCACGTGCTGGTGGGAGCGGGAGTGCACCATCATGTCCCAGGAGTAGCCGTATAGCCCGTTGGTCCAGTTGTTGTACCCCTGAGGAGGCAGGGCAGTGGGAATCAGCTCCATGCGCTTCACGCTAACGCTGTCCTTTGCACAGAGAGGTCCCCATATCTGCCCGCTTCTCTCCTGAGCACTGTCCCCTCTGCCACTATCCAAGCGGACCCCCAGCCCGCACACACCTGGGTGAGGAAGTGGGAATAGGGCAAGAAGAGCTGCTCCAGGAGGTAGAGCAGGGTGAAGGCAGTGCTCAGCTGGTGGCGCAGCCCTGGCTTCTGACTGCCTCTGGCTCGGCTCCTCTTATACATGCAGGAAGTGCTGGGCTGAGGGGCGGTCTTGAGGGGCAGCAGTTCTTGCAGCTTTTTCGGGCAGTGAGCTACCAGCTTCCGAGGCCACTCAGGAGAGCAGAAGAGAGGGCTGCTGGCCAGCATGACATAGGGGAACATGCCTAGAACAGCGGGGAGGAAACCAGCACTTCAGGAGTCTGGCTGGAAAACCTGGCTCATCCCCTCCACACACCCCCTTCCCCTAGGCAGCCTCCCCCAGGTATTCCACTTATGATGAAAGAAGTCCTCAACTGGAGCCTATTACTTCCCACAGAAACTTATTACAAAACATACTAGCTGAGCCCAAAAGCCCTTGGCCGCCTTCTCATCTGTTTCCATCTCTCAGAGATTACATCAGGCTCAGCTTAGCTCCTGTTCCTGTCACCATCTCCCCCTGCCACACGGGCCGCTGGTTCGTCCCTCCCCTGCACACCTGTGGCTTCCTGTTTCCCACCAGATTATAGGAACTGACCAATGCTGAAAAGCTGGGAATTCATGCAGTGGAAGTAGGACACAAAGACGAAGCCGATGGGTCTTGAGGCATCAAAGAAGAGCAGGAAACCGGCTGAGAGGTCGAGCAGCAATCCACACCAGTGCACCACCAGTAGACTCGTCATCTCCTCGGACAACACAAGTCTGCAGACACCAGGGTCAAAGCTCAGGCACTAGCATGCATGGAATACTCACAATTGAGGCACCTCTGCTACCTTCTCCATGCTGCTTGATCCACCCTGGCAGGTGGGTAGAGAACTCCACACAAAGACATCCTCTGGAAGGGTTTTCCAACCCCTTTTCATTCCCACATAATTTAAGACTGTTAGTCGCTCAGTCATGTCCAGCTCTTTACGACCCTAGGGATTATAGCCCACCAGGCTACTCTGTCCATGGAATTTTCCAACCCAGGTATTGAATCCGGGTCTCCAGTGTTGCAGGCTGGTTCTTTACCATCTGAGCCACCAAGGAATCTCACATACTTCAGGTGTCCAATTTCTTTCAACATGCCCTAAGTAATAAGCAAGGGCAGAGCTCCCAGAGCAAAATTTGACTGAGCAGTGTGTGTTGCGCAGGGCAGGCTTTTCCTGGAGGTATACCAGAAGAGAAACTTTAAAAGGGGAACGCTTGGCTGATATAATGATGTCAAACTTCCGAAACTGGGAGGCGTCAGGGCAGATGGAAGAGTGCAAAGTAAGACAAGATGGGGGTTCCCTGGTGGTCCGGTGGTTAAGAATCCGCCTGCCAATGCAGGGGACACGTGTTCCATCCCTGGTCTGGGACAATTCCACAGCCATGGAGGAACTAAACCCACGTGCTGTGACTGTGAGCCCACACACCTGCACTGTGAGCCCACACACCTGGAGCCCATGCTCTGCAACTAGAGCAGTCACAGTAATGAGGAGCCCACACACCACAGCGAGACAGCAGCCCCTACTTGCCGCAACTAGAGAAAGTCTATAGCAACAAAGACCCGCTCAGCCAAAAGTAAGAGTAAAAAAAGGAAGGCAAAAGGAAGAAGAGATGGGAGGAAGAGAGAAGTCAGAGAGAAGCAGCTCTGCTTTGGGAAGAGTTATTAACAATGGTTTTGTTGGGGAAGGGGAGCTGACTGTCCATCTTCTTGGCATGCCAGTTGAGGAATCTGGGCAAGAGGCTGGGGCAGCCACCCAAGGATAGAGGCCCCATCACAGTGACTGCTGGGGCACTGACTCACTCTCCAAGTCACCTAGCGCTGGCACTTCCCTTTCTGTTATTTCTCTTCCCTTCGCTCCGGCCCATGCTCTAAGTCTCCCAGGGGCAGCTAAGCCTAGATCTTTTGACATCATCAACTCTGCCTTCTGCTGAAGAGGGAAATGAGTGGACAGAATGAAGCATGCAGCAAATTTAGGCAAAGTGGGAGCAGCAGCTATGACCAGAGACCTGAAGGAGGTGAGCCCCCCAACCCTGCACCTGGCCACTCTAGGCCTCTGCCCCGCTGCTCACTTGAAAGGGCTGAAGAGCCAGTGCCGCGACAGGTATTCCATAGAGTAGCCTTCCACCCAGTCTGCGTCCAGCTTCTTTATGCCCGCAATGAAGTACACGATGAAGATCTGCAAACACGATATGCAAAACGAATATTCAAACGAAGTCAGAACCTCATCCTCCACAGACAGTCACAAATCAGTTCTGACCTCAGTCCAGGGCCTGAGAGATGAGATCCACTCTATTCATTCATCCCAGACGTTCACTCACCTAACATCCTACAGATGTCAGGCACAGTGTTAGGCAAAGTCAGGACGGAAAAGTCGGGCTTCCCTGGTGGATCAGATGGTAAAGAATCTGACTATAGTGCAGGAAACCTGGGTTCCATCTCTGAATTGGGAAGATCCCCTGGAGAAAGGAATAGCAACCCACTCCAGTATTCCTGCCTGGAGAATTCCATGGACAGAGGAGCCTGGCGGACCACAGACCATGCGGTCGCAAAGAGTCGGACAGGACTGAGCAGCTAACACTTTCACTTTTGAAGGAAAAGTCATGAAGGAAAAAGGAAAGTTATGAAGCACAGAGGTTACTCTTTCCTCATGAAGATTCTAATCTAGTGGGAATAAAGCTCTATTCTTTCTTTGTATGACAAGGTGAGAGACCCCAGAGATTAGGAAGTAGATTAGATTAGAAAACAGGGAGAAGCCAGTCCAGCTTTCCAGCAAAAAGGGAAAAAGAGGGATGTCCCTGGTGGTCCAGTAGATGAGCGTCTACCTACCAATGCGAGGGACAGGGCTTCAATGCCTGATGTAGGAAGATCCTACCTGCTGAGGGGCAAGTAAGCCCACGCACCACACAACTAATGAGCCCACGCTTTAGAGCCCACAAAGCTCTCTTGCCTAGAGCCCATGCTCTGCAATCAGAGACGCCACCACACTAAGAAACTAAGACACAGCACTGAAGAGTAGCCCCTGCTCTCCACAACTAAAGAGAGACTCGTATGCAGCAATGAATACCCAGCATAGCCAAAAATAAAATAAATGCGTAAAAAATTGTTTAAATAGTTGAGTTTCAAAAGGAGGGGGGAGGAGGAGAAGATTCAGGGAGGCCGAGCAGAGTGAAGTCTGGCAGTGGGCGGCCATGCTGTCAATGGCTGTGAAGAATACCCCCTCTCTCCTGAGATCTGGTACCTGGCCACGCAACACAGCATAGTTCCAAAGGGGCACATGGGCATTCCGCTTCCGGGCACTCAGCAGGCCATCCACAGACCTGCAGTGAGAGGGAGAAGGGTAGAGGACGGGTTCTTAGTCCAGTCCCATTTATACCTTGCTTTTTAAATGTCATCATCTCTCTATTCCAGGATATCTCTGTAATGATGTCTCTACTCTAGGAGGTCTCCCACATTTTCTCAGTTCTCTGGGCTATTCTGAGGCCCTTTCAGATTATTTGAGCAACCTGTAACGATTATTTCCAGTCATAACAGAAACTACTAGTTGTACCTACTAGTGAGTTATAACAACAACAACAAAAAATTCAGTGTTTAACATCTGTTAGTTAGCAAATTAGTCTCTCCTCATAAAACAAACCGGGAAACAAACCCCAGAAGAAAGGGGCTGTAGACCCTCCATTCCCCACCCCATGGCAGTAAGGCAGCTGGCAGTAAGACTAGTATACATTGACCTCCTGTTACCTGCATGAGGGAAGGTGTACTTCCCCCTGCTCCTCCTGCTGCCCCATCCACTGCATGGGAGAAGGGCATAAAGAAGCACTGATACGCAAAAAGAAAAAAGATTACAGTGCTAAAATATGACTAAATTTGAAAAAGAAGGAATTTCAGGAAATGTTTGAAAAGCTGGTGTACGAAAATATACACAGTACATTTAAAGCAAAGTTTCAATTTTCAAGACAAACTGACATTTCACAGACCTGGATGCTAGGATCTAGGGCCAGAGAGTATCTGTTAACAGCTTACCTAGGCTGAGAACTGACAAAACCAGGCTACTAAGATTAGATGTATTCTGGGGAGGCAGAAGCAAAGCAGATTTTCAAGAAGACACAGAATGAGCAGAGAAGCCAGGAAAGGGGCAGGTTATTATACTGGTGCTCAAGAGTACTGGAGTCTGCCATTAGGGAGACCTGAAGTCTCATTTATGCCTCTTAACTGTTTGGTGACCTTAGGCAAATCCTTTATTTCTGTAAGCCTTAATTTCTTCATTTATAAAATGGGAATAGCACAATGGACCTCATGGGGTTACAACATGGAAAAAGCAAAAGTGTTTAGCATAGTGCTTGGCATGTGGAAAGTCTTCAGTGAATGATCAGTATTTTTTCAAATTGTGCAAAAAATCACAAAAATGAGACTTTCTGGGGTATTCTGTCAGAGAGTGTTAGTCACTCAGTCATGTCCAACTCTTTGTGATCCCATGGATTGTAGCCCATTAGGCTTCTCTGTCTATGGAATTCTCCAGGCAGGAATACCAGTCATTCCCTTTTCCAGGGATCAAACCTGGGTCTCCTGCATTGCAGATGGATTCTTTACCATCTGAGCCACCAGGAAAGCTCAACTGCCTCTCAATTCTTTATGATGAGAGCTGGCCACTCTGAATGAATGTAAAGGTTTACAAAAAGGGGATATCTGCATAGATGTACTGACGATTGACATGTAATTAATGACTGATAAATCACCAACGAATCCAGTGTTTGAGTTTTTCTTCCCATGCCCATGTTACTGACAGCTCATACTTGCTTTTCACTTAGTAATAGAAGGACTCCTTAAAGATCATCAGCTCTGCCACCCTGTCTCCAAATCCCTTTTTCACCTCCCCTGAAAGATGGTCACATAAGCCAGAGGAGGGGGAGGGTTACCTCCTCCAGGGACAGCACTGCTGAGCAGCCCTGGTGGGCCCTCTCCTTCTGACATGCTTCTGCCCCACAGCAGTGTCTACTCTTGGCTCTAATTCTGTCCCTCACAGGGAAAGTCTGCTCCCTCTTCCACATGACCACCCTCGAAGTATTTGAAAACAGCTATGTCTGGCTTTAGTCTTCTCTTCTTCTAAGAGGATTACAGGAAGTGGACAGATCAAGGCACCTGGGGAGATAGGGAAAGAGTGAAGGGGTGGGAATGGAGCCATTCTGCTTGTGGTCACCCTCAGAGCTCCCACCGTGCTGACTCTTGCCCCTCCCGAGTCCATCCAAGTTACCTTTACTTGTTTACAAGTTACCTTCACTCCGCAAAGCATGGTTGAAGATATACTTGCTGAGACAAGTGCTAGGACCTTACTGGGCCCCTACCTCTGGGGACCATCCTGACACAGCCAACCCCTCCCTCGTTCCCCCTAGACTCATACCAGTAGTGGTGTGCATCCACAAATGTCAGCTGAAAGGCCAACAAGCCATACAGATAGGAGTGGTTGTTCCACGACGTCTTGTCCAGGAGAAACACATACCAGTATGGCAGCAGGAATAACACACAGCTTATCCGGTAGCACAGGCCCAGCATCATGCCCAGTGCCCCTGGGATTGGTAGAGGAGAGAATTAAAGGTCAAAGGGTCACCACAGGCCCAGCTCCCCTGGGACAAGCTATGAGTGGGGTTAAGAAAATCATCAGATGTTTTACAGTCAGATAAAAATAAATTTCAACTAAATGTTATTTCAATATTTTAAAAAGAGTTAAGGGGTCACAGCTCAGATGACACACAGGTTAGCAGGATGAAATTATAAGTTATAGAAGAAGTGAAATAAGAAAACCTAGAGAATTCCCTGGCAGTCCAGCGGTTAGGACTTAGTGTTTTCACTGCCAAGGGCCTAAGTTCGATCCCCAGTCAGGGAACTAAGATCTCGCAAACCATATGGCACAGCCAAAAATAAAAATGAAAGCCAAGACCCTGGTCATTCACCAGCATGCTTCATATTTCTGGGTTTTAGGTAGGCCAGTCAATACACCCATCTCTCCTGCAGTTTCTCTCACCCAGAAACATGATGGTGTAGACCAGATACATCCAGTCAAGTGGCAGTGGCTGCAGGGCATCCAGCAAGGGGAAGCGACACACCTCCAGGCCATCTAGGTATCTTCGGTCCAGGGAGCTGAGACCCCGCTCCTGGGGAATGTCCAGCACCATCATCAGCCCTGAGAAGGCAGAGGGGGAGGGTGCCGATAGGCCTCAGCAAAGGTAAACATGGAACGTACTAGAATACAGTCGAGCACACCCAGCTCCAGAAAGAATTCAATCAACAATAATCATGCTTGCTAAGTTGCTTCAGTCGTGTCTGACTCTAATCCCATGGACTGGAGCCCACCAGGCTCCTCTGTCCATGGGATTCTCCAGCCAAGAATACTGGAGTGGGTTGCCATTTCCTCCTCCAGGGGATCTCCTGACCCAGGGGTTGAACCCGCATCTCCTGCATTGACAGGCAGGTTCTTTACCACTCGCGCCACCTGGGAACTGGCTGAGTGCCTACTCTGTGCTAGGCATTATGCCAGTTGTGGATGTCAGCCACTGTACCTCCCTAAGCCAATTCCCCATTTGTGAGAAGGGGCTATAATATTTTGCAGGGTCTCAGAGAAGATCAAATGAAAGAAGCATACAAAGTGCTATCGAAGCTATTCAGGTTTTGATAGTCATGTATGTAAAGGTCTGTCCTATTGGCTACACAAAGTGCTCTGGGGTGATTGCGCCCTCAGCCTCTTTTATTTTCTGGCACAGCAGTATCTGGCCAGCACACTGGGGTAAACAGAAGGGCTACTCAGGTCAGGAAGCCAGCTCCAAATTAATGCAGGATTTCTCAAACCCAGGACAATTCAGTTTGGCCTGGTTAATTATTTGCTGGAGGTCTACCCTGTGGTTCATAGGTCATTCAGTAGCATCCCTGATTTCTGTGTAGATGCCAGTAACCACCTCTTCCTCTCCCCCCACACCTAGTTGTGACAAATACAAATATCTACAGACATTGCCAAATGTCCCCTGGACAGCAAAATCACCTCCAGTTGAGAACCACTGTGTTAAGGAGAGTAATATCTCAGCGTGTCTGTAACCCATTCCAAACATACATGCTGTGGCCTATGAGTTAGAAAGGTCTGGACTAGGAAGTCACAGCCTAAATGGCTGCTCTGTCACCCCAGCCATTTCTCTGAAGTCTAGTCCTTAGCATAGTTACTGGAAAACTTCATTCCACAAATAAAATGGGTTCCTGTTCCTCTGTCTCTGTATTTCCTGTAGCCTCGGATCAAAGCACTTCTGATCTCCAAGTCCTAATCAGAGGAGACAAAACTGGGTTACAAAGAGTTCTTCCAGGATATTAATCACTTCAGCTCTTAGAAAAAGGAAGGTTAGCCCACTAAGCAAGTAAGTATCCAAGAAACAGACACGGGACCATTGTCATTCTCTCACCCCCAACCACGCTGGCACCTCCCAGACACTGGACTTACCGAAGAGAAAACGGAAGACTGCCAGGCTTGCAGGATCCGTGGGTCTATTTAGCAGGGTCACCAACCTCTCCCAGCTGGACACATCTGTCCACTCAAAACCCAACAGTTTCCCCATTCGGCTGCCCTGACGGGGCCCTGAAGTCTGTGCAGCCTTGTCTTTCTTTACTTTGTCTGCAACGAATAAATGGAGAAAGTTGCAGGTGCACGTATGGGAATGGAGATGTTTTAAAACAGACTGCTTCTCAAATCAGAAAAACCTCCGTCTAGGGCTTCTGCAGCCCCTCCTCCAGGATCCCCCAGTGCCCCAGAACCTTTCTCAGACTGCAGCCCCCTAATGGCAAAGAGCCCTGAATGTCATCACCCACCCCGAAACCGAAGACTGCAATCTCTCTACAAGACCCTTCCCACCCGAGGCTCCCTTCCCCAGTCAGGTCCCGCAGGGCATCCCGCTCCAACCCCTCTGAAAGCCGCGCCCCTCTCTATCCGCCACAAGGCGGGGCTCTGAGCCTACCTGAGCCCCGCGGGGCCCGCGCGGGCCGAGCACAGACCGCCATGGCCTCGGGAAGGTAGATGTGCCACAGCAACAGCCTCCGAGCCCGGGGGCGTCGCCAGGGGCGAATCCCCAAAGCCCCGCCTCCCCGACACATCAGCACGCGCGAGGCTGGCCGGAAAGCGCGGAGACTGTCGTGAATGGCCCTAGTCGGCCGCGCCGGACTCCCTGCTTGGCGGCAGAGGGCGGAGCGAGGGGCCTGGGGGCGGGGCAACGAGGTCGCAAGGGGGCGTGGTCAGAACCCACCTTCCCTGGTGACCGAGGAGTGAAGGTGTACGCGGATCTGTCTCTTTTTCTGTCAAGTCCCGTCCCTGAGGCCTCCCGAGCCCTCTCCGCTCTATCAACCTAAAGAAGACCCTGAGCGCCCACGACCTCTCTGGGTCCCTTCCCGCCCCTGTTAGGTCGCTGCAGATGTGTGAACGGAGCGGGCGCAAAAAGTCAGACTCTTCGTAGAAGAGTTTCCCGCCCAGTTGAGGATGCACCTAGGATGGCTGTCCCGGCCTAGAACCAGAGGTTTGAAAGCAGCAGGAAAACCGGAACGACCTGACTGCAGAAAGAATGCAGAGTAGGGGCAGTGAATAGAGTTTGGTTGGGGAAGGTGAGTCTTGAACAGCTTTGTAACATTGTTTCTCTGCCCTGGAATTGACGAGCAGGATCCGAGGAAGGCATCTTAGTGCAGGGGTTCTCACACTTTTTAGTCTCAGGACCCCTTTACATTGCTACACAGATTATTGAGAACCCTAAAGAGCTTTTTATGAATAATAGGTTATATTTTTCCGTATTTACCCTCTTGGAAATTTACCCTGAGAAATGTTTGAAATATGCGTTGATTCACTAAAAGGAAAAAAAGTAATGAACCCATTACATGTTTACAGAAATAACATTTTTATGAAAAAATATATTTCCCACACTAAAAAATACATGAGAATAGGATTGTTTTACATGCAGATCTCTTTAATGCCTGGCTTAATTGAAGAAAGTTGGATTCTCATTTCTGTTTCTGCATTCCATCTGTTGTGATTGAAGTATATGAAGGAAATCTGGTCTCACAAGTACTGTTGGTAAAAAGAGAAGTATGTTAATAGGCTCTTTAGATAATTGTGGATATTCTTTGATACTACACCTAAACTTACAAGTGGTTGTTTTTTTAAAGGTTAGTTAAATGTGGGGGCTTCCCAGTTGGTGCTAGTGGTAAAGAACCTGCCTACTAAGGCAGGAGACATAAGAGACAAGGGCTCAATTCCGGGTTGGGAAGATCCACTGGAGATGGGCATGGCAACCCATTCCAGTATTCCTACCTGGAGAATCCCATGAACAGAGGATGCTGGTGGGCTACAGTCCATGGAGTTGCAGAGTCAGACACGACTGAAGTGACTTAGCATGTGTGCAATCAGATGTGGGATTGGAAAACATATAATGAACTTTACACTCTACTACATTTAAATTGAGCTTCCCTGGGTGGTTTAGACGTTAAAAGAATCTGCCTGCAATTCAGGAGACCTGGGTTTGATCCCTGGATGGTCAAGGATCCCTGGAGGAGAAAATGGCAACCCGCTTCACTATTCTTGCCTGGAGAATCCCATGGACAGAGGAGCCTGGCAGGCTACAGTCCATGGGGTCACAAAGAGTCGGACACAACTGAGTGACTAACACACACATTAAAATCACTGGTATATCTTGCAGAGGGAAAGGATGAGTGGGAGGACAGTTAGGGACTTTGGAATCAACATGTACACACTGCTATATTTAAAATGGATAACCAATAAAGACCTACTGTGTAGCACAGGGAACTGTGCTCAATATTATGCAATGACCTAAATGGGGAAAAATTTTGAGAGAGAGTAGATGCATGTATGGGCTTTCCTGATAGCTCAGTTGGTAAAGAATTCACCTGCAATGCAAGAGACCTGGGTTGGATCCCTGGGTTGGGAAGATCCCCTGGAGAAGGGAAATGCTACCCACTCCAGTATTCTGGCCTGAAGAAATCCATGGACTGTAAAAAGTCAGATACTACTGAGTGACTATCACTTTCACTTCACAGGTGCATGTATAACTGAATCACTTTGCTATATACATGAAACTAATACAACACTGTTAATAAACTATACTCAAATAAAAAATAGAAAGTTTTAAAAAATTGTTAGTATATCTTGTACTTGAATGGTTCTTTTACTCCTGACAATTTTACAAAATCATACAGATGGTCATTTGGAAAATACTGACCATCTAAAAACTAAGCCGTGCAGCTCTTCTAAATGTAAAGTTTCTTAAGTGTTGGGAAGCTGCCAGGCACACAATGGCAGATACAAGTTTTCTCAAATTTTAATTGTCATTTGAAAGCTCAAATTTTACCATTGGCAACAAATACCATTTATTGTTTTCTTGAATCAACAGGTTCCTTTCATTTTTGATAAAGTATTTGCTAAATGCACCAGTTTGAATAATCATAGTTCTTCTGTCCAATGTCCTTTCAAGTAAAATGGTACTTCATTTTAAAAGAAAAAAGACAAAAACAAAGATGCTTGACATCTTATTAGGATATTGCAAATGTGGCAATGCCCTGGTGATCCAGTGGGCAATTTCGCTTTCATGACCTGGGTTCAGTCCCTGGCCTGGGAACTAAGATCCCACAAGCCCCACAGCATGGCCAAAAAATAAAAACAACAGTGAGATTCTAGAAATCCAAGGCTCTGAAAACAACAAATGCTGGTCAGGAAATGGAGCAACAGAAACTCGGCTTACACTGCTGGTAGGAATACAAAACAGTTGGAAGGCAGTTTGGCAGTTTCTTACAAAACTCAACATACTCTTACCATATGATCCAGCAATTGTGCTCCCTGGTATTTACTCAAATGAGTTGAAAATTTATGCCCATGCAAAACCTGCACAGGAATGTACCTCAGTTTTATTTATAACTGTCTGAACGTGGAGTCAACCAAAATATCCTTCAGTAAGTAAATGGATAAAATAAACTAGCACATCCATATGATGGACTATTCAGTGATAAAATGAAATGAGCTATCCACAAAGACATGGAGGAATCTTAAATGCATATTGCTAAGTGAAAGAAACCAATCTGAAATGGCTACATACCATGTGATAACCTGGAAAAGGCAAAACTTTGGAGATAGCAAAAAGATAGGTGTTTGCCAGAGGTTGTGGGGGAGGAAGGGAGAGATGAATAGATGTAGCACAGAGGATTTTTAGAGAAGTGAAACTATTCTGTATGATACTCTAATGGTGTCATGATGAATTCATGTTGCTATATATTTATCAAGACCCATAGAATGTATAATATAGAGAGTGAACCCTAGGGACTACTTTTCTGGTAGTCCAGTGGCCAAGACTCCCAATGCAGGGGCTCTGGGTTCGATCTCTGGTCAGGGAACTAAAGTCCATACACTGCAACTAGGAGTTCGCATGCTCAATAGAGATCAAAGATCCAGCGTGCTGCAACTGAGAAGCAAAGCCAAATGAAAAATAAATTTAAAAGATTTTTTTTAATAAATTAAAAAAAATAGTGAACCCTAATGTATACCATGAGCTTTGTTATTAATATCAATATTAGCTCATCAGTTGTCACAAATATATCACACTAATACAAGATGTTAGTATAGGAGAAACAGGGAAAGCATGAAGGGTGTATGGAAACTACTACTCAAAAAAAAAATCTATTAGTTTGAAAACAAAGGTGATGAGCTGAGTTTACAGTTTAATTTCCCAAGTGTTCTTTCTCAGAATAACTGTGAGACTATCATTGTATTTGGGTATACAGAAGCATTGTATTCATATTTTCTAGTTCACACAAAATAGTAAATTGATCTGTACGCCAGTGACAGGAATTTATAAAATTAATAATTTTATACTGCTTTACTAACAGCGTTCTTTTTATAAAACTTTTTTTCCCCTTTTTCTTTAATTTTTTTTGGCTGCATCTCCTGGTGTGAGCAACTTCCCTGACCAGGGATCAAGCCTGCACCGCCTGCAGTGGAAGCATAGAGCCTTAACCACTGGACCGCCAGGGAAGCTCCAAGAGTGTTCTTACTTGATATTGGCATTTTTTAAATGTGGTAAGCTCATTGCGAGGAGGGATCCAGTGACTACTACTACAATTGGGTACCATGGTCTCGCTCTTGCTAAGTTGCCAACAGTTTTGCCCATTTTTCTTTGCATTATCAGTTCAAATGTTAACACAGTTAAAAAGGCAAATAACATTTCAGTATTATTATAGTAAGTTTTGCCCCTGAAGACTTCAAGGGTTCACAGACCATGTGCTGAGAACCACAATCCTAAAGGAAAAAATTGGCAGGGGTAGATGTAGTAGAGATTATTGGGCACAGATGTGTCTGACAGGTGGATTCACCAACTGTTGCTGCTGTTGAAGTCTGGCCCACTTGTAGGTCATCCTGATACAATACTTTGGAAGCCATAGGTCTATTAATATATAGGGGATGCATCTCTTAATCCACTCTCAAATCCCAGTCCAGGTGAATACATTGTGGATTGGGAAATTTAAGCCAGATTTTCTAGGATCACTCAAAATTAGATGGCTTTGGACTTTCCTGGTGGTCCAGTGGTTAAGAATCTACTTGCCAATTTAGGGGATGTGGGTTCTATCCCTGGACTGGGATGGTTCCACATGCCTCAGGCAACTGGGCCCCAGCGTCACAGCTACTGATCCTGTGTGCTGCAGCTACTAGAACCACCACTAGAGAGTAGCCCCTCCTCTCCGCAACTGGTGGAAGTCCGAGAGCAGCAATGAAGACCCAGCGAAAGCAAAAATATATAAAAATTTAAAAAATACTAGATGACTCCATTTTTTTAAACTATTTATTTTTATTTTATTTACCATCTGAGCCACAGGGGCTTCCTTGGTGGCTCAGATGTTAAAGAATCCGCCTGCAATGCAGGAGACTCAGGTTCAAGCCCTGGGTTGGGAAGATCTTCTGGAGAGGGGCATGGCAACCCACTCCAGTATTCTTGCCTGGAGAATTCCATGGACAGAGGAGCTTGGTGGGCTACAGTCCATGGGGTCGCAAAGAATCAGA